GTGTGTGTGTGTGTGTGGGAGTGAGTCTGTGTATGTGTGTGTGTGGGAGTGTGAGTGTGTGTATGTGTGTGTGTGGGAGTGTGAGTCTGTGTGTGTGTGTGAGAGTGTGAGTGTGTGTGTGTGGGAGTGAGAGTCTTTGTGTGTGTGTGCGTGTGTGTGTGTGTGTGGGTCAGTCTGTGTGTGTGTGTGTGGGAGTGTGAGTCTGTGTGGGAGTGTGAGTCTGTGTCTGTGTGTGAGAGTCTGTCTGTGTGTGTGTGCGTGTGTGGGTCAGTCTGTGTGTGTGTGTGTGTGGGAGTGAGAGTCTGTGTGTGTGTGTGAGAGTCAGTCTGTGTGTGTGTGTGTGTGTGTGTGTGAGTCAGTCTGTGTGTGGGAGTGAGAGTGTGTGTGTGTGTGTGGGCGTGAGGAGTCTGTGTGTGTGTGTGAGTCAGACTGTGTGTGTGTGTGTGTGTGTCAGTCTGTGTGGCATTCCCTTGTCAAAGCAGAGCCGTGTGCTCTTGCTGCAGTGTTTGCCTTTCTGCTCTCTGTTCCTCCGCTAACTTTGAGCTCTTGTGCAAAGCAGGGATTCCCTTGCTGCGGCAGGACTCTCCCGTGTCCGTCTACCTCTTCCCCGGCGAGAATAACCAGGAGAGGCCTCCATCCCAGCCCCCGTCGTGCCTGAACAGGCTGGATGTGTATCCCTCCGAGGGGAGTGAGGCAGAGAGTGACTCCACTGACAACGATGACTTCTGCATATTGGATGCCCCAGGCATGGGAATTCCGGTAAGTTTTCCAGTAAGAGCTCCCTTCAGGAAGAATTGACGACCGTTCTGTGCTTGACTGGACAGTAGACTTCCCAAGTGAACTGAGGGAGCCCAGTATTTAAGGAAGATGCTCTCCGATGAAGGGAATGTTGTGACTGTCCTACTGGACTGTAGGGCTGCCCTCTCGTGAGAGAGAGAGAGATGGGTGGTGGTGATCTCACTGGAGGGTCACCATACTTTAGGTGAGGGAGACGTTTAGAAGGTAGGACCTTAGTGGTAATCCCATGGAATTGAACCCATGCTATTGGCGCCATTCTGCAGACCAGCAGTCCAGCCAACTGAGCTACAGCAACCCCTTGAGCTGTGTGCTGTCCTGGCGTTGGGAAGGTGAATGAGACAAGTCAGTGGGAGGCTAAGAAAGGGGGTGGAGGCCTGGGAGAGACTGATGACCGTTTGTTTGCGTGAAGGAGGTGTCAACCACGTTCCATGTGCCGCGGACTTGGGAATTGACTCCCGGATGGAACTTGGCATCACTGCCCTGCCACTCGCTGACGTTTCCCAGTTCCGTTCTGCACATTCCAGACAGTGACATCAATCGCTCACATAAGTTCTCCCCCTGTTCCTCCTCTAATGCAGCCCAAAGATGGTGAGCCGGTGGTCTCCAAGCTGACGGCTGACTGCATCTCCATCCGGGATGGCTACTTCTCCAGGCCCATCGGGAGCACGGATCTGCTGAAGGCTCCAGCCAGGTTCCCCGTACCCGATAGCCGCGTCATGCTGCGAGAGATCTCCGTCGTCTGGCACCTTTACGGAGGGAAAGACTTCAGCCCTGCCCGCCTATCTTCTGCGCACGTGCATTCTCCAAGGCAGGTTCAGACCGGCGTTGTGGGGGGTGGGTTGGAGGGGTGGAGGGGTGGGGGAGGGCGGTGCTCGTAGGAGTTTGGGAGGGAGGGGGGTGCACTCGGATTTGAACGTGCTCAGCCTCAGGTGGCCTTTCCCGTTCCTCTCATTGCTAGCCTTCAGAAGCATCGACTTTGTGTGGCGTACAGTCCCAGGAGTCTGTGCTGTGCAGATATCCCTCGGTGACCCGGCTTAGTCAGGGAAAGGTATGTAAGGAAGTGGAGATAGAGCACCTGGTAGCAACCACAGGACAGGTCAGTTTTGAGCACATGGAATGGCAGTACAGGCTCGAGAGGATGAATGGCCACCTCCAGTTCCCTCTAGCCTGTATCTCTTGAATCCTAACCCAGATAAAAGTCACTTGATCTTGTTCTGGCTGAATGATCTTAAAGGGTGTGACCTGTGGGCTTGCAAACACTCTCAGTCCCTTGTAATGTTCCTGGAGGAGGCCATTCAGCCCCTCGTAGTGTTCCAGTTTCGGAACAGGAGGAGGCCCTTCAGCCCCTTGTAATGTTCCTAAATAGGAACAGGAGGAGACCATTCAGCCCCTTGCAATGTACTGGTATAGGAGCAGGAGGAGGCCGTTCAGCCCCTTGAACTGTTCTGGGATAGGAAGCTGTGTGATGCGCAGAAGCGTTTGCTGTAACATTGGCATCTCCTTGCAGGGTGAGACCGGTGACTGTCAGTGCCAGGGGCTCACCGTCCCGCTCCGCCTTCCCCAACCGCCCACAGAACACATGGAGGACGCAGGGGGGCTACGGCAGGAACCACGACATTCTGATGGAGATACAGCTCACCAAGGTAGGCCAGCACAGCAAGGAGCTAGGAGCAACTGTGCCAGCACTGCCCATGTCACATTCTGATGCCCCCAGTGCAGAATCAGCCCTTCATTACCAATTGGGCACCCTCTGGTCTCAGCTGGATGATGGGGAGGGAGGGAGGGAGAGTGCACATGTGATCCCAAACCTCCTACCACTCATGCTTCTTACAATGGTGTTCAGTACGGAACTGTTTCCACTGGTGAGCAATCTGACCATCCAGAGCTCAGCTGTGGGTCACTGGTGTCTCCTCTCGGCTGGAGATTTCAACCCATAACACAGGAGGATGTTCCAGTGCCGTGCTGAGGGAGTGGGCACTGTCAGAGGGTCAGTGCTGAGGGAGCGC